AGGTATGTGCTGCTGTGAAGGGTATGGTTATCAAGCAGTTTACTCTAGGATAGGGTATATAAATCAGAGCATTTGGGTCTAGAATAGGGTATTATTTTTCAGGAAACTGATCAGTTGGTTGAAGATTAATTTTTATCTAGTTATCTAGGCTAGGGATTGTGGTATAAGGTTTTGTTTTGGCTAGACTGTGCTAGTGACCACAGTAGTTTCTGGAAAACAGCTACTCTAGGATAGGGGGGATTAGGGGAGTTTACTCTAGTATAGCAGTGTGCAAAGAATTTATCATTTTCACAGCTTTGCCATTCGGGGAAGCTGAAGCTAGCATTTACTAGACTGCAAAACAGTCGGGTTTTTTTCTCAAAATCAGTAAAAAATCGGTAAAGCGTGGCGTAAGAGTCTTACGCGCGCGAAGGTTGCGAGCCTCACACGCCCTACGCAAGAGAAAAAAAACCGACTGTCCATTTTCCATACAATGAGTTCGTTCCGACCAGGAGGTTTGAAAAATGTCGTGGAGCTGTCAAAAATCTGTTCGCAACTCCGCCCTCTTTGTGAATTTGATACACTCGCGTGTTATTATAGCGCGTGTGGCTTCGAATCTTGACGCTGTGATCCAGTAATTCTAAAGCAGTTTTTAGCGTTGCTTCTCTGTGAAATGTAGTGTATATAGTGAAATGTAGTATATATAGTGGAGGATCAAAAATGAGTGGAAGTGGTAGTACGACAACAAAGCCTGTGCCTGCTCCTCGAAGAGGGAGAAAGCCGAAAGAGCCGAGGGCTCCGGACAAATTGTAGAGTGTGCAGCTGTTGTTTCAAAACACAGTTCGGTAATTTTACGAATGGATGGATAAGCTCGGAAAATGTGTTTGTTGCGCCTACCAGAAAAGGGGAAACGTTACCAAAGTGGGCCGACCTACTGAAAAACGAACTTTTCGTCGTCCTCGAGGAAGGAGAATGCGAGAGCAAATTATTCTGGAGAAAGAGTCTTTCTCCAGAAGAGTTTGCTCTCCGTGCGGAACAAAGGTTAGAAACTTTGCCCCGGGAAACTGCACGGCGATGCTTTCGCAAATTAGAGAAGAACTGAACACGCCAACTGACAATGAACAATTATTGCGATTGAAAAGAATGAGTAAATCCCCTCATTCCAATCCAGGTCTTGGTGATTTAGCTCGGTAAATCACCATCTGTGAGAATTTAAAATCCTGCCAAAAATGCTAACGAGCTGGCCCCAGTGTGACAAAACATTGCAGGAAAAAGTCACATTCACGGACACGAAGAAAATCGCTTAAAAATTTTTCAAATCCAAGAGGCACTTTGGAGAAATAAAACAACCTAAAACCCTTAATCAGCCGTAATGAAGAGCTTTACATTTCTAAAGGGGCCAAGAAAGAAAATACTCTTGCGTCAGAGGGCAAATCATGCCGACCAGAGAAAATCAATATGCATGTCACGACCTCTCAGTACGAAATATATTTAATAAGCGGCCAAAATTCACATTTGCTCAGTCAAAACGTTTTCCTCCAAAGCATAATCTACTCGACATAGAAAACAATTCATTGGAACAAGCGGCATGTTTGCATGAGGCGAGATGACAATGACGGTCGGCCGTTGTACGGAACTTGAGGAACTCTTTGCATGAACAAACATCTGATAAATAAGGCTTTGTCAAATCCTGTTGGTAGAACACAGAAAACATCCTTTCCCCTGAGTAGTAACTCCAAAGCTTCCCTCTGCTCCGATTTTAAAACAAATCCCAATTCTTGCGAGCAAATCCAGGCGATCAACATCCGTCATTTTACAGCGAAAGCTTTAGCAATTCATTACGGTAGGGAACAACGCAAATGTCTTGTTGAAAACATTACTTGACAGCTTGGTGACAACTTGCATCGAAATTTAGCCAATGGGAATCGCCCGTGGCTGGGACGTATGCAAAACGGACAGTCCGTATTTTTAGCGTCTCTCCCCAGTCTCGCTCTCTGTTTTCAGCCTCATTCCAGACCTTTCGTTTGACTGCTCGCGCGTACTTGAATACGCAAAAATACAGACTGTTTTACAGTCTAAGCATTTACTAGCCCAGATGTCATTTCAACTAACCCAAAAAACTTTGACTAGCAGAATTGATTTCACAGTTCTTCTGTTATTCGAATTCCTCAAAAAACATCACTTGCCCGTTGGGCAAGTTAAAAACAGAATTCACTAGCCCGATAGCAAAATCCACTAGCCCCGCGCTATTGGACACTACTTTCTTTGCACACTGTTTAGGATAGCAAAATTCAGCTGAACTAGCTCTGGTATAGGTTAAAGGTTCAGGGTGCCAGCGGCACATCCCAACCCAGAAATTCCTAAAGTACAACCCCCCCCCCCCCCCCCCCCCCGCCCCACCACGACAGACCACCCAAAACCCAAGGCCGAGTAAATTTACTGTGAGAGGAAAAAAAAAGAAAGAAAGAAAAAAAAAAAAAAAAAAAAAAAAAAAAAAAAAAAACAAAAAAAAAAAAAAAAAAAAAAAAAAAAAAAAAAAAAAAAGAAAAAAAAAAAAAACAAATANGGAACGGTTTGGAATGTAGCATACTTAAAAAAAATAATAATTATGAACCCACACTTAATTTAAATCTCAAGATGGTACAAATTGACAAGCAGGAGAATGAAGCACACAATATATAGGAATTCTGTACAGCTGGTAAATATGGAATGATACTTTCACACTGCCACATGAGGAAAACAAACGCAGACAAAGTTTCAACTAAGCTAGTGTAAGTAATCGATTTAATCAAAGCCACTGAGAGTTTACAGATTTGTTTACGTGTGTTGATATCTATAATGGCTGCCAGAAACGAAATTGCTCGATCGTCCTGTTTTTCAGGGTATTTCGCTTTTCTCGTGAATTTGACCACAAATAACTGAATATGCATGCTATTATAGTTACCTTGGGAGGAAGTGGCTGTTTTGGTTGTTGATTATAGTAACCGGGATTATGTCGGGCAGGATCTTGCTGCGAGCTGATTCCGTTCATATGTTGTGGACCGTTCGCCATGGCATTGTGAGAAGGAAACTGTTGTGTAGGAAAACCGCCAGGATTGGACATAAAATTCTCCGTTCCTCCCTTGACTGGTCCGTCAAACGGTGAAACTCTATGACAGGAATGCTTCCTTTAGCAATCGACTTTTGAAACACGTTTTTAAAACTCTAAACATTCGTCATACCTTTGTCCAGTCATCGGAGGACGTTGATTCATCATCTTTCACACACTGCGTACAATCTTGTACGCAAAAACAAACTTAAAAAACGATAGAATAGGCCTCTTAGAGGCAGTATGGGTTCTAAATATGACAATTCAAGGTAAGGAATTTTTTTCCAAGGCTAAAATGATCCACAACTTTCTAATCAGTGAGAAGACATTTATGCCACGTAGAAGAGTTGAAACCCAGTAGCCAACATCCCGGATGTCCAGCCGGCGCATTGTAATCTGGGTAAAGCGCCAACTCAAAATTCTTACGTGGCTTTTGAAACGAAAGCGTCTCTGCGCGAAACATATGACATGTTCCGTTCCAACTTATTTTATGACACGATTAGCAACTTCAGTTTGTCTTATGATTCATACTGAAAACGGAAGCTTGGATAGGTAAAAACAGCAGACAATAATTGAAAGGGCAGCTGACATAACTTGGATTGAAGAGTACACTAGAAATACGTTTTGTATAACAACTAGATTGAATTGTTGCCTAGCTATCAGCATCCTGCTGTAATATAATCACTAAATAATTGATTTATCCTTATCAATCAACAGAAACTGAAAGTTTTTCTGCCCTTTTGCCTCACCGAACATATTTTATTCGCTATTCTATCTAATATTTGTTAGGAGCCCCGCCTCAAGGCAGGGCGACGAAAAATTGGTCTATAGACTCATTCTGTTGTTCACCTCCACGGAAATCTTTAGTAAAAGGCGAAAGATTTATGCGTGATGAAGGAAAACCAGAGTTGAATCATGTCGAGGAACATTGGCATCATATTTCTCTTAAAATCATATCACATATGGGACAAACCGCTTTCTAATGTAACTCCATACGCATGCGCATCGACAAGTTGTAAATGAATGACTTAAGTGAATGACATGGTCTAACGATTGACTTCATGAGCAAATAACATACAAAAGGGAATGATGTCTCTCCAGTGAAAAACATCGGCTTGGGCAAAATGATACTTTTTTTCTCCATATGTTCTTCGGCCAACAAATATCCGGTCAACAGTTAGCCTGCGAAAACATCCGTTTCTCCTCGCTCTTCGCCGCTAGGGACGTCCCCGCGAAACGTCCCTAGCGGCGAAGAGCGAGGAGAAACGGATGTTTTCGCAGGCTAATCAACAGTGGCTTGAAAACGCAATTTTCCGGTGCCAAATGTTTTAAAACGCCGTTCTCTTATTATCCGTCCAGCCAGGGATTAGAATGTGCTACTGTCACTCGACCTTTTTAGGACCAGTGTTAGAGGAGGCAGAATCGGAGTACCCCGATGGCTCCAGTGTTACATGGTGTTAGTAGTAAGTAATTCAGTGACTCAGTCAGTCAGTCAAACAGTCAGTCAGTTAGTCAGTCAAACAGTCAGTCAGTCAATCAGTCGGTCAGTCAGTCAGTCAGTCAGTCAGTCAGTCAGTCAGACAGTCAGTTAGTCAATCAGTGAGTAGCGGTTCATGATACGCCCTCGTTGTGGCTCTTCATCTGCTACTATGTCAAAATCAGGATAATTGTTCAATCTATGGGATAGCTAACTATAGTGGAGCCCTTCTTAGGTATAGTAATTACAGTCGAAGCTTTCTGGACAGAGACACTCTCTGATACGTTGACAGTTCTCGATCAACTTTCGGTCGCCTTGACAAAATCTTTCTTAACTCGTGCCGTATAAAACCCCTTCCCCTCTTAAAAATGGACGGTAGTATGAATTATAGAAAAGAACAAAGGAACCGTCGAGATATTACAGCGGAAGAAACGAAAGAAACCGAGGGGTTTTATACGACCTTCAGTTGTCACAGGACATTGGAAGATCTGGAAGCTAAAGATACCTAGAGAGGAAAAAAAAATGCTTCTCGTCTAAATAACGGAAAGATATGGGACTTTTACAGTCTTCAGAGCAATTATGGGGTATCAAAACGGGCGCATCACAAGTTTTACTTCTTATAATTTAGACAAACGTCTGAACCCAAAGATACTAATCACATTTTGCGAGAAGTATAAACTGTCACATTGATGATCTACTCTTACTACACGGAAACATCCGACTTGCTATCCGAAGTTTAACTCTCATCTGTTAAGAGAACTCCTATGCCTTTTGGTTTCCGAGTCAAAATCATGCCCCGTTAATAAGTGGTTTCTACGATGTACGCCAGGGCACGCTTGTTCAAACGTTGGATAGCGCTATACACTGGATACATTACTTTTCAGCGGATAAGTATTAGGGAAACCAATTGCGTCATACACTGAATCCAGTGTATAGTGTTATCCATACCTTTCGAACAACTGGGGACAGTACAACAATGGACACAATTCACATTAACTGGGTTCACACATAGTACTTTATTAACGACTGAAGAGTGTGTGCGACCTTTCACATGGCGAGTCTGTCACACTACTTTGTTAAGTGTGACTGTTGCATAAAAAGCACATAGAACTCAAATTACAAGGTTCTAAACAGGAAGTCCTTAAAGACCGTTCCTAAACAAGTGAAATGTCAAGATAGGAAAGTCTGTCAAACTCTGGACTTGTTTCAATAGTTTCCACCTTTAAAAACTAAATGTGTTTTCAAGGGGAATGCCTTTTTCAGGCAATAGCTTCAACTTTGGACTCTTGTGTATATTTTATAAGGGCTCCAGCTATTTGAGGTTTCTCCCGTTTTCATCGTTGCACTTTGTCTTATTGCTCAATAAATAATGAGAATCAAAACTTTGGGGAGAACCTTGACTAAAATATATAAATTTAGCCAAGCCTAAAAGCGGAGCCACCGTTGATACTGAACATTTTCCTGAAACAATTACAGAAAATTCGCAAGTCTAAATCACTGCTTCATTACAGCCACACTATCAATTTCAGATCTTAACAAACATTGGTTTTATTGAGATGCATATCTGAGAGAAAATTTTTTGTTATCCGGTTTATGGGGTTATAAGACTACTTAAATGTCTTACCAGTCCTTGCAAACAAAACCTCAAATAGCTGAACTCAAATGATGTACAATAGTTTGTACAGTTATATTAGCTTATGGTAATCAATAGAATTTTAATAATTTTACGATATAATTCCTTTGAGCTTAGTATTTGAGTGTTCTTGCTGTAAGTTCGAACTCAGTGAGACAAATGGACGAACAGTTGCAAAAAGGAAATAAACAAAATTCGACACTTCAATAAGATACTGGTAACAACACTGTCATCATCACTTTTAACCAAAAAATACTCTTTGTATTCTACAACAGATAACAGACAGATTTCTTTTGATGTAAAAATGGTAATTTGTAAATTAAGAAGAGTCAGATACAGTAAAAAATACACAAAACAACACAGACTCCACGGGATAAGAACTGCAAGATTGCGGTGGATAAAATAGCTTTTTCCTTGATTTCTCCTTTATTCATTTCTGTTGTTATTTCCACTGCTATCTAACAGAAAAAAACAGTTTCAAGATGTAGTTCTTGCGGGATATAGAGCATGTATAATGACAGTAAAAAGTTCTCCAAATGGTTTGATCTTTTGTGTGGCAGTTGGTCAGGTTAAAACAGAAGAGTTCCCATGCCTCCCATTTCGCTCTGCTCCTTGACAAAGATTTCAAAATACTGGTAAATGATGGTGACGGCCAGTAAAATTCCAGTTCCAGACCCAATTGCACCTGAAAAGAGAATAAGTGATAGCTAAACATCAGCTTCACACACAGTAGATGACCACTAAACAAGGAGATTTATGAAACAAAGTAAAAGTTATGTAATGTAGGCTGGTCCCAATGGTCTCACTATCCTAATATTTTCGGTTTTCACATGACATTACCAAAATTCCAACTACCGTATTTATTCGATTAACCGCCCTGGGCGCTTATTAAATTTTTGGACCTTGAAAGTGGGCGCTAATTCGAGGTTGGGCGCTTATTGGAATAAATACAGTAAGCAATTATCGATTTTTCAGAGTTTCTACTTTCATGAGGTATTACAGCATGCAAACACCTTTATTTATTCATATCTGCTGTTCAAAAGGGTTCGAAATTTTCGTATAGAGGATGCTTGAATTTCCAAGCCTTTGCATGATGTGGCATTTAGTTGGTGTTCGGGAAAGCTCTTATGTGGGTTAAAATTGTTACCGATTTTTTTAAGATTTTGCTATCTAAACATTCTTTGTCTCAGAATGAATATTACTTTAATCTTCCCGAGTTCCTCCAGTGATGTACTCCCGCTTTTGTAAAAAAAAACCTTTAAAGACATGTTTTTGTTAGTTTCCAGCCGCCATATTTGTGCCCCCTGCTGTCTTCCTACAAAGCTTTGTAAATTTGGGCCAAACATTTTTTCGAATATCTCACATATGTGTAATATCACACAAACCTGATTTTTGGTGAGGCTCTTCTTTTATTTCTCTGATTCTCAATTTCTGTATTGAATGGTTTGCATTTTTTATTTTTGATGGCATGACAGTGAAAACAGAGGATTATGTCATTATAATGAGGCTAGTGCCATGACCAAGAGCTCGGTGAAGAGAGGTGGGTATAAGCTAAACTCAATGAACTCACCCATAAAGTCAGCCAGGACAGACAAAGCTCCAATACAAAGACCACCAAAGGCTGCAGCAGTAGGGATGTACCTTTTATGACAAAAAACAAAGATTATTTTCTTTCAAATTCAAATTCAATTATTCCAGTAACCAGTAAAGCAAAGAGTTAGACAAAACTGCCTGTGCACTTGATATAGACGTCTTACAGTTAAAGTAGTTAACATAAGTAAGGAAAATTTACCTGTTCAGCTCATGGACCATAGACTTGTCCCGGTGGCCTCGCATCACCATTTGTTGTTCTTTAAGCTGCTTAGCAACCTGAAGAAGTAACAAAGAGAACCAAACTCTTAATGAGAGAAATAATAACACTTCAATGTAATTTTGTGCTATGTACCGTATACTGCATTCCACACTCTCTTCACCCGTCACTTCCCCCATCACAAATACTGACAGGATATTCCAGAAATAATAAAAAAAAGGTTTAAGAGAAAATTGACTGCCACTACAGTGAAAACCTGTTTGTTACAATACAAGGGTCACAAAAACTGATCACAAATCACAAGGTATTTAATTAAGAAAATAGCTGAGTGTATTTAGATTTGGGTCAAAACAATATTATAACAAACAACTTAAGATTTGGCCAACCATGCAATGTGTAACAAAACCAACTGAATTTCCAATCTGAATTAAAATGCACATTTGCAAAATGAAGAAAAGAAATAAAACTTACATCTTTGGCTGAAGAGCCAGACACATCAATCCATGTCTTAGAGAAGAAGGCACAGGAGCCAAGCATAAAGAAGATGTATAAGACAGCATGTATGGGGTCCTCTATAATGTGGCCCACTGTCTCTGGAGGAGACATGTAATAACACAGTCCACCAGTTGGGTATGACCTGGCCGGGCCACCACCAGCTTCCTACAAACACATCCAGAAAGGTGAGTCACATCATTCCACATTTTAGTTTTTGTCTTACGACCTTTCAACCCTCTAAGTTGCGACCATTTTGGTCGCCACGGCGCCTAAAATATTGCAGCTGGCAACTTTATTTGTAAAAAAAAAGTCTCCCTAAACCAAAAGAGTTGGTTGCCAAATGGCGACTGAGCAAAAACTTTAACTTGGAGGGTTGCCTTTTCAACTTCTTCGCAAGGTAACCACAGCAGCATAGCACATGTTAAGTACTGTGGGGTTTGTCATCATCCCCTCCCCCTTCCTCCAAGGTCTACAGTATGTCACCTACACATTTCAATAAACACTGCTGGCACTTCCAAGTGCCCTTAAAATTGATAAGCAGATATGAAAGAGAGAAGCCCAATGGTATCATGTCACTGCACTTCGATGTGAGTACCCGGCCATACAGCTCTGTGAAATTATATTCCTAAATGGTGGTCCTTGGAAAGTCCTTGAAAAATGGTTGCATTTTTTTTGTATAAACCCTGGATGAGAGATTGTACAAAAATGCACATTCCCAGTATTCTATTCTAATAAGACTTTAAGGCTTGAACTATTTGCTCCACCAACTACTCTACATTCTTCAGTTCCCTTGTCTTAAACTGATAGTTAATTATTGTATAAAACATAAAGCACTTTATGTGAATAACCTTCAAATTCTCTGAGCTATGATTTATATTCTGACTTTGACAACCAAAAAGCAAGGAATTTTTTAAGGACTTGCACAGAAATTTAAGGACTTTTCAAAGAACAATGGAATTCAAGAACTTTTCAAGGACTTCCCCTAATTGGGCACCAGCACCCAAGCTCATCTATTGGTGATGAGTTTAATGGTCATTGCAAGTGCCCTAGGGTGTTAGTTTGGCAATGATGTATCTTGTAAAGACCCACCTCCCAAGTTCCAAGGATATTAACAAAGAAATTTCCTCCAAACTTTGTTGATAGCATTTGGGAGATGACATAGATGTTGGACACAAGAGCGCTCTACAAGTCAAAGAAAAAATTGAGAAACACACGTGAGCAGTGCCGCACAATAATACTATTTCTGCTTCACCTTCAAAATCTACGCAAAGTAAAATTGAAGCCACAAAAAGAAAGTGATTTGGACAATTTTACATTATGGTTAGAAACCATGGTTAAGCCAAGAAAAATGTTAACTGAAGCAGGAGTGTTAAAGGTTTTCCAATGGTTTAAATTATCAGAAGGTTTGAAAAACTCAGGTGTAAAATTACAACATTTGACTGGTGAAGTGAAGTTAAGTTTGGTGTGAATTATCAGGAATTTTAAAAAAACCAAGGGGTTTTAAATAAGAAATCAGGATTCTACCGTGGTGAAGTTTCTTTTCCTGAACAAAACAATCCACAACAGTGATTTTTTAATGAATGATGTCTTTTAATGTACCAGTATTTGGCAATGCTTGGAACCTTTATAGAAGAAGTGGTAATACAGAAGTAACCTGCTTTATAGGGAGAAACTCAATTAAGATTTGATTGTTTGGTCTGCCCAGACAGACTAAAAATACACTGTGCATAGTGTCTATTGAACTCACTTGCAAGATAATGGGAATGTTTGAGGTGTAAAAAAGCTTGATTGGGTATGAACTGTACTGCCCTCTGTAACGAGCTGACTTGATTGGCAGATCCACACGGAAGCCCTGTGAAGAGAGGCAGACAGATATTCAATCTAGGTTATGGAAATTGCACTCAACTAAAGCGATCTTGAATGACTTGTGTTACCTCAAATGGCATTCGACTGCAACTATTGTGGGGTTATAAAGACTGTCAAGCAGTCTACCTTGCCTGGTAGAAAGCAAAAGCCCTGGCCCAGAAAAAAGAGGTGGAGACAATGATACCCTATGCTCCCAATGCAGGCAATTCGATGAGTATTTGGTTAAGTTGCATCTACCTCCTTCATATGAGTGGAAGGAGAGACAATCAAAGAAGCTGGCAACACAACCAAGTCATCAGACATGGCAATCATTAAAAAAAAATGCACATGGTACTACTGTAGTCTTCACAGTCAACTTCTCTTGGAAATATTCAGTACCTTTTCATAAGACCACATAAATAAACAATAAAAAAAAAAGAAGAACATGCAAGACTGCATGATTACCTGGAAGTAAATAACTATTGCAAAGACAAAGATAGTGGCAATGAGGTTGGTAAGATTTGGCAGATTTTGACGATAGAAGGCTTCACGCAGACCACGCACTTTATCTGTTCTGGTGGCCAGCAAATGGAAGAGGGCAATGATTGCTCCTTCAAATTCAGTTCCTGAAAAAAGAGGCAGCTCATTAGTTTTTCCAGCATGTCACTAAGAACTGAGGGACCAGAGATTTCCTCTAGATACTATCATCATGACCTCCGGCTACTTTCATAGAACTAGCAGATTAATTCCCAACATACCAATAACACATAAAATAAATTGAAATCTTAGTGACAGACCTGGTTTATTTTTAACTACTTTTTTCTCATTAAGTACTTCTCTTTTTCCCCAGATCCCTGATACTACAAATGGCCAAAATGATTTTCTACGTGTCACTACCAAATAAAAGCTTAAGAAAACACTGAAGCACATTACTTGTAAATCTATTAAAACTAGCCTAACCCAATAACTAACATCTAAAGACCAAGCATTCAACCACATACCCCTGCCAGTATTGATAGTTGCTGGACTGAAAGCTTTCCACACGATGGTCTCGCAGATGTTTGTAGCAATGAACAACGAGATTCTACAAAATTATAAAATAAAATAATTGCACTAACTGTCATAACACTACATATATTGTTTCCTTAATCCATTCTGAGTTAATAAGGGACTCTTATTGTGGCACTAAGACCTGGTTAACGTAAAAAAAAACATCAACATAAATGTAAACAAAAAAAATACAAATGTGTGGACTACATCTTCACAAATGCAAGCAAAGATGCGAGAAATGGAAAATGTTTGATTTCTTGCCTCAGCACTTGTGCCTGCATTTCTGCTTGCATTTGCATTTGCAAACAAAAGCCCAAATGCAAGTTGAAAGACCATGCTGGAATCCAGAATGCATAAATGCACATACATGTCTCACTGTGCTTGCATTTGTATTGGATGTGTGAACATCTCCTGTGCTTGTGCTTGTGCTAGTGTTCTTTGCCGTGTAAACCAGCCCTAATTATTTTGTCCATGAAGGAAAAGTTATTCTAGATAAAAACCAAATTTGTGTGGAATCAATTCTTCCCTGTCTTAGTAGTGTTTTGGGTCATCAAACTCACACGATTGAAGCCTTGATGCCATTTCACCAAGATAAGTGGATTTATAAATGAGGGATTCTTCTAAATTTGTTCGGTTTGGCAATTGTTGCAAACAAACACTTAAATTGAGCTACTTACCCAGATCCCAAACCATAACCTTTCTGCAAAAGTTCATCCAGAAGCAGCACAATGAGACCAGCACAAAACAGCTGTAAAAAGAAACAAAATTTCAATGCATTTAAATGGCATTTAAAGGGGTTAACAATGTACTATTGGTCCATGGTACGTCAGCATGCACATGTACATGCCCAGTAGTTTGCTCAATCCTTCAAGAGATTCACTGGTGTACACGGAGTTTCCTTCCAGCTGGGTTGTTCCTGCCACAAGGTTTCTTTCAATTAATTCTTCTTCCCTCCCCTCCTCCCTATGCTTCTTTCTCCACTGATATTTTCACTGTGACAGGTGACTTTTGTTTCCTTATGAGTGGGGTGCTCATGGCTGGGTTGCACCATTGTGCCAGCCATAAAGGCATTCTTCAATCTGGAGACTGGCTGCCAAAAGTGGAAGCTCCTGGATACTCTAGCCACGTACCCAACCTCCATTTAACGATGCAGTTATTAATGTTAAGTGTAAACAATGCACTTCAGGACTATAAAGACTCAAAGTGCCAATTTCAATATCTAACCTTATTCAAAATAGCTAACCAAAGAACAGAGCACATAAAACAAAATGAACATGTCTCAAGTTACCTGAATGATAATCAAAAGGCAGATACCAGGGCCAAGATCAGAAGGGTCACCATACATTCCAGTCATAACATACACCACAGCCTGGCCAATGGTAATAATCATGCCAAATACTAATAGAAAAGAACACTTAATCAGTGCATTGTTTATTATAGCTCTGTCAAGGACACTAAACTCCTCTAAGCCCCATATATCCTAGCTCCTTTAATACATACAGAGGGACTGGGTAGGGTCTGGCAGATTATGCCAGCATAATTTTCAGCATAATACTATACATCAACTGTTGATGTTTGACTGTACACTGAACATCAGGCATAATGCCTGCATATTAAACTACAAGTACTTTGTAAACAAAATCAAATGTTGTATTGCAGTTTAGAAAATTGTTAGGTAAATTTCCAGCGATTTCCAACTCCAGTGTACAAAGTTCAAAAAAGCATTGACATTTTAGGAACTGAATACCTTGATGGTCCTAAAACACTAATGCCAAGTGCATTTGGTGTAGTCTAAGATCTGGCAACCTCATTATGCTACCTTGGAAGGTACTTACATTTCTGAGATCCATTGAAGAGAGCTCTGTCTTTAGGACTATCACCAACCTCAATGATTTTAGAACCTGCCAGGAGCTGAGATATTTTTTTCAAGTTAGATTAGACCAGTTCCAATGTAAATACCCAAGATGCTTTAAGTATAATTGCAGTCAACCCATACCTGCATAATCAGTCCAGATGTAACTATTGGGGAAATTCCAAGTTCCATAAGGGTACCTAAAAGAAACAGCAAATTTCAAGAAATGTCAAGACAGTGTATGCTTTTCAATACAATAATTTTAAAAGGGGTTTTTATGCTGTATGTACAAAACTGGCGTGATGTATTATAGCTCTAAGTAGGTACACAATCCCTAACTCAAAAAATTAAAATTAAAATAAAAACTATGTTACACTTTGACAGCAATGATGAAAGCTTTTTTGTAAATCACCATTAAAGGGTTATTAGTAACATATCAAACACTTAGATTTCTCATTCAGTGTTTTGTATGGGTCCAAAATGTTTATGCGATATATACCAACTTTGCATATAATTATTTCATTCAAAAAAAATTAACAGTATCTTTTTTAATCTTATTCTCTGCCTTCTAGTGTAAGCAAAGACACTTAAGCTAAAGTGTATCTTCCAGCTGTTTAAATGATTTCAAGAGGCACAAATTTTGACACAAAAAAGATCACGAAAAGAAAGGAGAAGTAGAAGTATTTGTATGGGTCCAAACTCTTGATTTGATCATGAAATAAAAGAAAACATACATCATTACATGTGTGATATGGGAATATTTCCAAAATACAACTAACAAATTAAAAGTTGGACCTTTACAAAGTAACGAACTTTTCCCTTCCCCTGATAAACGTGAATTTGGAGAAAAATAAAGACCGCAGAAGTCTCTTAAAATGGCCGCAAGAAGTTACTTCCTTTTAGAGAGACATTCAAATGAGCAACAAAAACCCTGACGATCAATGTCGTTAAAATAAAAAATAATAATAAACGTAAAATTTTCTTTATTTTTAAAGTTACGAGAAAACAGCTGAGGGTGTGGTGAAATTTGTGCTTTTTACCTGCACAACAAGATCTAATTTTACGGTTACTGGTTTGAATTTTGGACGAGTCAAAAATATAAAGGCTGTAGAACTTACCCCTGTTAGAAGCTAAAATTACTCTCATCCAGTAGAATGGATCTGCAGAATCCGAAGACATGATGCCAAACAAAGGAATCTAAAGAATAAAAGGTCAAAACTGTTGGGCACTTTCGACCCTGAAATTACATTTTGAATGAAACCGTAAAATGCCGGTTGAACAATGAAGAGATAATATAAAGCTTACGTGCGCTTAAAAAATATTTGTGGTTCGAACTTCTGATGAACTTCAAAAGAACGAAAAAAAGGTTTACCAACCTGGCAACAAACAAGGAAGATGAACAATGTAATTGCAGTCCATAGTACTTTTTCTCTAAACTGGATCTGTAAGAAGAAAGCCATAATTTTTAGAGAAACTTGAGAAACACTATCCATTTAGTTTCCTATCTTCATTTGGCCACACGCGTTAGTCCACGTACCCTTAGTGTTAGCCAAACATTTCTTCTTTATATGCAGGCAAAAGTGAAGCAAGAAACGGTACAATTCTTTAGATAGACAAAAAAGGGTGCTTCAGTGTCTTCTGGAGCCATTTACGACAAAACTTACCTTTCTTTCGGGCTTCGAGACTTCAGGCAAAACGGAAATGAACGGTCGTAAAACCTCGAGAAATTTAACTGTGTGAATGAGAAAGAAATCGATCGTTATTTCTACTCGAAAACGAGCATTCAGTCTTAAGATTGCTACATTAACGAAATCTAATGTGTTTAAACTACTTACCACCCATTTTTACGATTTTTTCTGTGGCCAGAAATTGAAGAGTTTACAAAATGAAATATAAAATTTAACTGTGGACAGACAATGGCCACAGCGAGTAAAGAAGAGAACTCAACACGCAAAGCGCAGGCCCTTTACGTCATCCGGTACCAGTCCTTCGCAAGACTGCGAGAGCATCCGGTTTTTTCACCCGAAAAAACCGGATCTCAGGGTCAACCAAAAAGTTAAGGACTGCATTTTTCAATGGATGCGTTCATTTCTTACAAACTCGCTCAATTCTTGACACGCTAAGCCTATTGTAATATACATAGCACAAGACTAGTCTAGCTCGCACAATTATTCTTCCCCCGATATCGCTTTTTACTTAAATTCAACTAGGTCAACTAGTGGTCTATTATCAATGCTGCGTTCTGGGCCCAGTTGTTCGAACGCGGGTTCTAACCTGGGGTTAAATTTTAACCCGGGTTTTTTTTTTCTTTTTATCAAAAGCACTCTCTCGGATAATTTTCTCTATTTTTTTAGCATATCTAATCATCAAATGGTAGGCAAAGAGAATTCAACTGAATTGGCTTTTTAAGCTCTCATATCCGAGTTCAAAATTTGCACTCCGTGACCCTGGGTTATCTTAACCCAGCTTTGAAGAACCCCGCCCTGATTGGTTGAGCTAGCGCACTAGAAGAGAAAAGCGCCGCGTTTGAAAACCAAAACAATGGCGGCTGAATCGCGTTTTGCTAGCTTAAGTTGTTTAGTCTCGATATTTTTGACCAACTAGTTAGATTTTACTAAAACAATTATTCCTCTCCCACTCTTGGCCTCTGAGTCAATAGCCCATTCGGCCTTCGGCTTCGTGTGCTATTGACTCAGAGCCCTTTCGGGCTCGAGGAATAATTGTTAAATATACGTGGTTCATTCAAAACTAATAAAAAATAAATTCAATTTTGGACGCAAATAATAAGGGTTTAAGTGGCAAATTTAAAATTCGATTTACCAAGTGAAAGCTACCGTTGACATCACCGTTCTGTCCTTGCTATCATGCATTTTTGTGATGCTTTTTACTCACAAGATTTAGATTATACATGTTTTGTTTGTTCGCCTTAAGTGAGCCATACCCCGGGGAGCCATACAACCCCCCTAGCTGATGGACTAGAAGGACCGGAGCCTAGAAAAGGATCTAATAAGCTATAAATTAAAATATCGAACAAAAGAAGCAAAGCTGATTTTAGACATTTCATAGTCGGGAATTTTCCCGGTGCAAGGTGGTCACTGACCTTCAGAAACGAAAGGGGCCCGGAGACTTGCCAGCTCTCAGGGGCACCCAACGAGAATATAGTTCAAAGTCACTTAAACATAGCATTGTTAAACGTATTTTAGTATTTAAACGGTAGATATAGGCATATTTTTATCCCCTAAAAATTTTTCATCAGTTCGGATTTCCTAGCTGAAAGTCTAGTGATCCGAAAATCATAGGGATCAAAACTTACCTTTTCGAAAATTTCAGCCAGAAAAAAGGCTCCCGAAAATTTTAGCTGACCTTTTTACGGTAAAAATCCGTTAAAAATGGACAATTATACCATTTTTTAGATGTTCGAAAATCCTAGGAGAGGCAGGCAAGCAAGAAATTTTTCAACAAATGTTCCGAAAATTCTAGATCTCAAATCGTCTTCCGAACAGATATTTTCCGAAGATTGACGTTGGGTGCCCCTGAGCTCTATAAATACTATCTATTTTAAAATTGGTAGAGGAACTTTGAGAGCATCTGTGTCCACAAAAAGACAGATTTTAGTAAATGAGAATTCTTTACAAAACTTCGAACAAAAGGGGGTGCCCCCCCGCCCAATAAAAAAAAATGGTCACGAGGGTGTGCGATTTTAACCCTGGTGTTTGTGCTAACCGTCTTTAAAGCAAAAGGACCCAATAATTTTGGGGATAAATGCTGCAAGAAAAAATAGCGAAGAGAATACAAGATAGCCACTGAATATGCTTCACCAGGGAGCTACAGGAGCAACTTTCTTTTCAGACCAGCGCTTGCACTTGTGGTGACGTCAGTACATCATCACACTACAGCTCAATACACCAAACGTATTGGGTGAAATTTTATCTCATCTAGATTACAATCATTTGCAAAACTACAGCAAAATATGAGTCAAATAATAACTGTATCAGATCATAGAGCTCCGCTATTTAAAAAACTTATCCAAGAGACGGTGGATTGGTCTACAGGCCCTCCCCCTTCCCTTTACCCTCCCTGCTAGCTTTCTCTTCGTATCGGCTATAGGTAGTGGAATTCCAAAATCCCCGAAATAAACCTTCCAATATGCCAAAAATTAGTAAAACTCGGGTAAAATACCAAAATTAAGAGAACCACGGTATACTTTATACCAAAAATTAGTTGTGAGTTAATACTTTATACCCAATTTTAAGCATAAATGTCCTGTATGCCTGAAATTAAATACCCCAATCGGCTGTATACCCAAAAATCCTGGCCGACCCCGAAGAGTCTCTCCACGGGCTAGCCTTGAATTGAGTCAGCAACTAACCCTTGGTAGCCTGCGTGCAGACGTACGCACAACAACAAAAAATTCTTGCTGATTGCACTCATTCCCTTTTAATGCAACCAAACTTACATCACCCTGCATTTTGTTTTAGATGGTCATAGAATCTTTCTCTTCATCAAATCTTCATCGCTCATGTCTATTGCCATTTAAGAACAAAGTATCAACATAAGTAAACTTCAGTAAAAACAAGACGCTACGGAGCGTACACTTCGGCGTCGTGGTTGTGGAACTAATTAATTGTAAATGCGGAGGAATGGTAAGAAATCAAATACGGTAAGAGTAAGGTGTTAATTTGTGAAATTATGGGATTTGTCAGGATATTCTGAAATGAGCAACATTCAAGAGGCCTACTTGCCAAAAACTAGCATTTCGGGACAAATTGTCTCCGAGATATTAGCCCAGTTATGCTCTGATGACTCCATACAAATCCTTCTAAAAATCACAATACCTGAAAATCGACCTTCGTCACACTTGACTAAACACAGCAGTCCAGCTCGTGGGAAAAAAACTTAGTTCTTCAAAAGAACTCGCTTGGAACTTGTATACCGTTTGACATAAGGTTCTAGAAAATGCTAAACAGCAGGCGAATAGTAGTAGCTTTTCGACATATTTTATGATTTCAGTAACTGATGCAAATCTGCTGACTCATGCTGAAATGAAAACATGCCCTAATTAATTATTCATGGATAATCCAAAAACGCAGAGAACGTTCGAGAAAGTCACCAACGCATGAAAGCAATTTTACTACGTAACACTCAACAAAGACAAAATGTCTTTTTGCAGCATTTTGTAACTCTAAATTCATCATAAAACAGTTCGAAAGGAGGGCTCACTCGTGAAATGTTTTTCAACACTCGAAGAGAAATTTCGTGTCTCTGCGCGGCCACGAAATATATTATCTATTTATTCCTCGAGTAATTAAAGACTAAACTAGAAGTGATCTCAAGATATCACGAAGTAGTCCGGTCTCATTTCGTGAAATAGTTGAAACAAGCCGAAAAGTCACGAACTTACACGCCCAATCTTGTCCCGAAACTAGTGCATCATTTCATAACTATTTTTCATATCTCAAACTACCTTGGGTCGCAGTAGCGCAATCGGCTAATCCCTCAACTCAGAGTCTCCTCTGATCTGACGGGTCACACAGGTGAGTCGGTTCAAACCCCGGGAAAGCCAAAATAATAATTCTTTCTTCCTCGAAAAAGTTAAAGAATCAATCAAAGAAATCGAAGTGATCTCGAGATATCTCGAATTAATTCGGCTCTCACTTCGTCAAATAGCCGAATAAAATCGAAAACCTACAGACTTTGCATGCCCAATCTTGTCAAAAAATTGTAACTTTGATACATTCCTGAGCGTCGCGAAACCTTTACTTCGCGCTCCGCGGAAGTAATAAAACACAAACTGCGGTAACAAACATGATGAGACAACGCATAAGTCTTTAAAATCTTAGTTTTTTGGAACATGCGTTGTTTCATCATGTTTGTTATCGCTGTTTGTGTTATATTTTTACTGAAGTTAATAAAATGGGTGAACTTGTTACGGTAAACAGAACGGGAACGTCATTTGACGACGGGAAAGAGCGCGGAAAGGACTAAACTCGACTTCCGGTGCACAATTTGCCGCTCAGCCATTGGTCAAGCCAGTTTTTTGATTTGCGCGCGCCGTCATCAACTGACATTCCCGTTCTGTTGCTAAATCAACGTTGACCTGGAAAGACTGCGTATCCTTCTAGTCCTGGGGCTGGTGGCGAAAACCCACCCCTCCCACAGGTAAAGAGCCAGCTTGCACATTGTAGTATTTTGTGCTGTCACCCTTTGCAACACCCTAATAAATTCCTACAGCATGAAGTAGAAGTAACCTGAGAAAACAGCCGACATTTCGCGACGCCACCACTGGTTTCTCTTCGAAAATGACGTCAGGGTAACGTGGGAAGAAACTCCATACTTAT